GGAGGCAACACTAGTCGAGGCGCTCATAATCAAAGTCAGCCTTATCTCGGCCAGTGGCTGAATGTCACGCTCCAGAGACCCCCTTCCCATTCCTCAAGTACCGCAATCCGTAGTCCTTCAAAAACTCAATAAGTATACTCAGTTAACATGTTCAAAACACTTCCTGCAGTTACAAGAAGATCGGCAAGGCCGATCTCTTTGTGGCAACTTAACAAGGTTAGTAAACCCCTGGAACCCTACTCGGATTCACTTGTATCGGGAGCAAATTCCTCCCGATTTCCTTCGTTCTTTTTGGGAGTGATAGTTCAGAAGCACATAGTCTCATGTGTAACATTTGCACATTTATTGACAGGGAAATGCGAGACCTGGAGGCGTGTCAGTCGCTTCTGGGGTCAGGCGCTTAATCCGTCGCTTCTGGGGTCGCACTAGTACGGACGTCCGTAAATCTCTAAACAGACCGATTTGGGCAAGGGGCGGTGTTGCCGGCACCAGGTCTGGGCTCCGCTGGTGAAATTGAGGATACGGACGTCAAAATCTAGGAGGGGGGTCCGACCCCCCTTTCTAAATCTCCAACAGGCCGTAGACAGTCCGTAGACCTCGGCATACGGTGCCGTGACCACGAGAAAGGAAGGAGCATCATGACAAAGCGAACTGCATGCCAAATACAGACATGACATAAGCCATTCCAGTCACGTGCTGATGATGAGCAGAACATGCCGCTTGTTTAGCGCCCAAGATCCAGAGACTGTTTCAAACCCCGCCTAGAAATCTACGGACGTCCGTAGAGCCGTAAATCCTTATGGAAAGTCGTCCATTATCTCCAGTTCAGAATGCTATTTTGTGCTCCATCAATGTCGCCCGCAAACCCGCCAAAAGTAGTATCGTAAAGATGAAGGACTCAGTAGGTAATTTTGGTAAACCTTTGTCGGTACAATACTGTTGTCAACAGGGTTCTGCAAATGCAGCGCTGAGCGCATCGTCAGTCACGTCTACGGTCTGCCACGTAATTGAGACGCCCTTAGGAAACCCGGACTTGCAGAGCGCCCAATTGGCATGCGATACTTCGCTAAGTAGCTGCTGGTATGTTATGAACCTGCCCAAAACAAGGATTGCATCCGACAGGAAACTCTATGTACATATTTTGCGCTCCGTGGGGACACTAGACTCTTACATCGCCATGCGAGACCAATCCTCTGCGATTCCACGCGTGGATGATGTGGAAGTTGCGACAGAGTTGATACTCTCGAAGGAGGACCAGCTCGCGGCTGAGAGCGGGGGCGATATTGGTTCCTCGGAGGAACGCGAAAGTTCTGAGCGCGCGCCGCTCAGAACCCACTCCGTATCCGAGAAAGGATCCTCCCTATCGCTCTGTGCCACGGAAAGTGGACTTCTCCAGGGATCCCCCTCGGTATCCTCACGTTCCTGCTGAACAGATGAGTGGTGGGAGACAGAGGAACTGATAGAGGGAGTAGGCGATGCGGAGTGATGCTGCACCTCCGACTCGTCTCCCGAAACTGCCTCCGGGGTAAGGTCATGCTCGTACCGCACCGTCTCCATACTGCTCGTACGCCGCAGCCCCATGCTGTCTCGGAACCCCTCCCACCTCAGCAGCTCCTCGCGCTCGCGCTGATGCCGCTCGAACAGCTCGTCCCACATATTCCGGGGCGCGGCCCGCAGACGCCTACGAACCACCCAGTCCGTGTCCACGATGCCCATGTGCGTCACGTCTGCCCATGCTCCGGCTGCGTCGGGGACTGCGCGGCGCTGGATGCCCTCGTGTGCAAACCCGAACGCAGTGAACAGCCGTTGCGCGCGGGACCGGTCTGCGGAGGCGAGGATGCGCGCCTGGACGCGGTGTGCGCGGATGGTCTCGACGGCCCACTGGACGGCGAACGCGCACGCCTTCATGCCGGCGCCTTGTCGGCGGAATGTGGGGAGGAGCGCGACGCCGATGTGGACTTCGTGGGGGACGGAGGACATCGTTACGTAAACGATGCCTATCGTCTTCCACTCGAACACGGCCTGGTTTTTGCGGGGCGTGAGAGGTGTGCTGTCCGACGAGGACAAGAAGCTGCCTTGGCCGTTCTGCTCGGCGTCGCCGAGGGGTGAATGTATTTTTGGGTGTGTCTGTTCATGGTAGGCGTTCACTGAAGCATAGACTGCGGCAGAGTCTGAAGAGAGAATAGGAGAGTCTGTCCAGACTACCGCAGCATGGTCGGGGAGCCCAAGGGTAGCGAGCTCAACGGAAGCTGGGAGTACGATCTCGACGGGTGTACGGATGGCGGCGAAGAGTAGACAGTGATTGTTGGCAAAATCAAGGATATCCGGTCGCCCTACGAGAGCTGCTTCAACGGAGACAGCGGAAAGCTGCTCCCAGACGAGAAGAAGGGCCTCTTGGTCGACCAAGGCAGCGTTGTCGATAGCCGTCTCGAGGATAATTGTGCCTTCGAGCTTCACAGATCCGATGAAAGCACCCTCAGGGATGTCTTCGACTAGTTCTTTGTCTGAGAGGGTGGGCGACATAGGGCAGCTGCGGTAGTGCGAGAATTCAGCAGCTCTGCACCTTCAAGTAGGGAGGGGAGATGATACGCCGCAGCAGCACATACGTATCAGTTAGATAGAGTTTGACGACGTGTTGCCGCTGGGTTCCAGGGTGCCTGCGAGGTCGCCGAAGGGGAGTGGGAGATGCCGTTCTATGAAATGACACCGGAGCCAGTCTCCGACATGCAGTGAGGTGAACATGCGTGGCGTGCGAGTGATTTCCATATCGAATGATATACGTTCCGTTCGAACGGCCTTTGCACCTGACCTACTAATCACCTTGGCAAGTCCAAGGTTGCGATGATCAGGTGAGCGTTTGTCACGTAGTCATAGGGTCCATTCCAACCTGAGGCTGTGAAAGTTACAAGACCGGGGAGCAAGCGAGAACCTCGGGCGCGTTTGGCTCGAGAAGAGGCGGCGGCGGGGGATCCCGCCGTTGCAGGTACCATGATGCTAAAGTACCAGTGTACTAGCGGCCTTCCGACAACGGCCCTGTCTCCGCAAGTAGATGTCCGGGACGAACATAGAGCGTGATGGGGAAAGTCATGTTCACCAATCTTGACTCTTGGCTCTATTGACCAACGCTGTGATATAGTGACTCTAAGCCGCAGCGCCACTGCATTCAGTATGTAGAAGCTGAATGACAGATCATGTACTCATCTTTTAATGTGAGCAGAACAATCCTGCTGGCGAGGAATCTAACAAAGAGCTTATAGAATGAGTCTCCCTTAAATCAGTTATAAATTGTACTCTGTGAAAAATAATCACCTATGGGCACGTGGTGTAGTTGGTTATCACGCTCGCTTAGCAATCTGTTCATGTGCGAGAGGGGTCCGGTTCGATCCCGGACGTGTCCATGTTTTTCTTTCTCTTTTGTGCCATCCGCGTTCGGTCTGCGGTCCAACGTGGCCTAAAGTACTTACTAATAACAGCCGCCTGAGCCATTGACACCTAGCCCTCGGTCTATAAGATGGCAACGACCTCATCACTACCTCCTGAACAAGATGCTGAGGTGAAATTCGTAGTCTAGTCTCGAAAGTTAGTACCTCGCTGACTGATCTTTGTATCTGTGCAGACGAAGTACACCAAGGCTGCAAACGCCGAGCTCTCTAAAGACTATGACAAGGCTTTCTCACTGTATATCCAAGCTGCCGAGAAATATCTCCAGCTCAGCCGACAAGCAGTCAACGACAGGACACGAGCGCTCCACAAAGGAGAGGCCGCGAAAGCGTTGGAACGCGCTGAGAAGATCAAGGCTCTCCGACACGATGTCAAGCCCGTGGTCAAAGACGAATTCTCCGAGGGTATTCCTGGAGTCCGAGACATGCAATGCTGATGTCTTACTCCCTTTATTGCAGGCGAACAGCTATATGTTCTTCAGAAGTCTTCTCTGGTGAACCAGGGCTTTTTTCCCTTATGGAGCTCCGCAGACGATCGTCCATCATCCCCAACGTATGTCACACATATCATGTGGTGTTCATGATTAATACAGCTGCCCGTAGACTGCCGGCCTTATCCACTGAGCAGATTACACGTGGTGCGACTTGGCGGAGCCATCCTCTTGCTCAACGAGGTGGTCGGGAAGGTTCTTTTCAAGAACTAAAGCCAGAAGACATTGTACAGCATATCGTCTCGGATTGCTCCGTGTGCGGAGCGATGGCTGTCGCTATCGACCATCATCGGCGGTTTCTATCGAAGGTACAGGCGATCACCGAAGCCTAGATTTGCCAAATCTTACAACATCGGCGCAGATAATTGTGTCCTCTCTCTTCCCGCAAGATGAGAGGGGATTTCCGACACGTTCTGAGTCGGGACAATACCAGCTCCGTGTTCTTTACAATGGGGCACATCGACGCGTAGGGGTCTTTTGATGTCTCTTACCCAGCATGCTCACCGCATGTAACTCGCCTTTTTCGGCAGATAAGTGAGCGCGGATCTTCCGTACACGAACGGTTTGCGCTGAGGATCTCCCAGGCATTGACGACCAGCTGCCCACCTACCCAGACGGCACTCTGATGTGCGTTTCTACGGGTGGGAAAGGGGAACTTTGGCCCTCGCTTGTTGAGAAGGCAGTAAGTCTGTATAGAAATGGTCTCCTATGGGGCACAGGCCTTACACTAGTTGCGTAGTATATGAAGCTCGCCGGAGGCTATGATTTCATCGGATCGTGAGTCGGTTGCTGCTTTGATGTCTGTTTCGTCCTGACGGCGTCATCAGTGACTCCAGTACCGATCTTCAGTTCGTACAATTCCTTAATCACCAGGACAATTGCGCTGATTGGTATGAAGTGCCCTCGCAGGATGGATCCCTGATATCATTGATATGAAAAGGCATGAGATGACGTTAAGGCTTAGGTTAGCGTGCCCTGATGTGCAAGTTAGGGATGACTTTCAGAGAGAAAAGACTTGGCGTCGGTTGATCAAAGGCTATGCTAATGGTGCGTTCCTTGTTCCATTCACACACCTGTCTATACTACCAGCTACATTCCAGGTGACTGCGTGGTGACTCTCGGAACAGGGGAGCGGGTGAAGGAGATGAACTTCTCGGTCACCTTGCTTCCCACTCATTGTTACGCCGTTATTGGTGTGGAGGCAGTCTTCAAACAAATTGGAGTTCCCGGCTTATCTTGCGAAATCATAGGGGTGCACGACTCTGAACAAGATCGCGAGCTGACGATCTTTGATCCATGGGTCCAATCAACTGAAGATCCTGCGGCGGCGGAGATTCCAAGCTCGAAGCAGAAACGTGAGACACTAAACGCTTCACAACGTACTACGCAGCACGCTAAAACCCCACAGGTTCCATCGACATCTCGATGGATACAGTCCACCGCCTCTTCAATGGCATATACTTTAGCTGGAACCCCGCGATATTCGAGCATAAGCTGACATTCCACGGGTAAGCTCCTGATGTCTTCCATGCTCGTAAGGCTACCCCTTTCCCTGACATACTGCCCTCTAGAATGTGGAAAAGAACCGGCAAAGGCAGCGATTCGTGTACTTTACGTCTCTTGCACTCCTAGAATTCCTCGCTGATTTCGCTTCAGCGACACATTCCCGTGTTCAGCTGCAGTTGGATGTCAGCAGCACCCTGAAGGAAGACGAAGAAGTATGGATACTACTCACCCGACATACGCGAAGACATCGAGCGCAGGAAGAGTTCATTGCGCTGACTGCGCACGGCGGGACGGGCACAGGGGCAAGTAACGGAAGTAATGTTCTGTCTACCAAGGTGCGCCTAGCCGGTCGGCTCAACGTCGTAATCATCTCACCATCGTCTCTTCAGGGAGAGTACACAAACGCGACCCACGTCCTTGTGAGTGACCATGCATGCTAATGTTCCAAGAGCCAGTTCACCGTACACCAGGTCAAAGCGAGAGTGTCCGAAGAGGAGAACATCTGGGCGCTTGTTGCATCTTACGAAGGCGATCGGGAAGACGTCGGCTTCACGCTTACAGTGTACTCACACCGCAACGCTTCCTGGGCTACCACACCGAACAAGCTCATCTACTCTCAAGACGTAAGTGGCAAGTACATACGAACCAACATCCTGAATTACAACTGCCTGTTCAGGTCGAAGCAGCCTTTACGCAAAAGACCGCCGGCGGGAACCACACCCATTCTTCCTACTACCTCAACCCTCAGTATCACTTACGCGTACACCCGCGCGTTGATGGAGCATCGCGCGCGAGCAGAGACGCAAAGTCGGCAATATCAGTCTCTGTGAGCACGGACCGACAGATCCCCGTGAACATCATGCTCGCTTGGTCTCAAGGCGCCAGGATCAGCGAGTAGGTTTGAATTGACACTTCATACGTTACTAGAAACTGACCCTGCGCTAGATTAGGTCATAACGATCTCGCTCTTTCCTCCGGTCCTTACACATACGGCTATGCCAATGCGTCCGGACGCATACCACGTACGTATCCGCTTTCATCAGCACCCTCTCCCATCCCCATTCATCTGAGCTTTGCCTACAGCGGGAGACTACACTCTCGTAGTCTCAGCCTTGGAGCCGCACCACATCGGCAAGTTTGACCTGAGGGTCGAGTGCTCAGACCGCTTCGACCTCACGCCCATTCCCCAAGAGGGCGCAGGGATGTTCAGCAAAGTGGTCCGCGGTGAATGGTACGCACGCCTTGCTTGTGCCGCCTTTGACACTCCCTTGCGCCCGAGCCTAGACCTGATTGTGATTGTAACACTACAGGACAGTGGAAACAGCGGGCGGCGGACCAAGCTCGGGCTCGTACTCCTCGAATCCGACTTACGAGCTCCAAGTCTCTGCCCCGGCCCAGCTCAGATTCCGCCTGCAGCTAACCGAGCTGTCGCCCTCCATAGCGCTCAACCTCACCGTCTTCAACCTGCCCACGGGGACGGGAGCGCTAGGACGGCACGTTGCGACGTCTGGGCCCTACTCCGACGCCATCTCGGGAGTGATCATCGAGAAGCTGACATTGCAGGCTGGAAAGTACGTCGTCGTGCCGTCGACGTACAAGGCGGGGGTGCAGGCGGCGTTCAGGTTGATTATGTATAGTACAGTGTCGGGCGTGCAGCTCGTGCCCAGGAAGGAGTAGTGTATGAAGGAAGGAGGATGTTGTATAAATACATTGTGGCCGTGTTTTTTGGCATTGCACATTTGTAAGTGAGGGAGACATGATTCATCTGCGCCGGTAAGACGGAGACGAGAGCAAGAATTCGTTCACCCGCTTCAGCGTAACACGCGACGGGTTCGCCTCCGGCCTGCTAGAGATGATCCATTGCAATCGTGTCCGGATCGACTCCTTGCTCGCTGCTGAGGCTACAATCGTAATCAGAAGATATTCCGTCCTATCGAATGCGGGCGCACGTACCTGCAGCCCCGTGTTCGAGTAGCTGCCCTTGATCGTCAAAGAACAGCTGCAGCGCGGCGAGGGCGATGCCAACGCTCGCGTCTTTGCCAGAGTCGCAGCATACACACACGGTATCCCCTCGCTGGAGACGCTTCTCGATGAAACGAGTCGACGCGGGGAGGACGTTCTGGAGGAACGCAAGCTGGTCCTTCTTCCCTTCTGTGAGCTTGAATCGGAGGACGTGTTGGTCCGGCAGCGTTTGGTTCCTATCCACGCGTTCTGCTTCAGGCGTGTCGGTCTGGGGAACGTGAGCCGTCGCGGAAACGACGATGAAGGATACAGGACCATCCACATCAGCCAGGGTGTTGGGAACGTCCGAGGGCATATCGGAAGCGTTGCCGACGTACAGCCGTCCGTTCGTCACCCTGACGGGGGTAGGAGATGTTTTCCATGCCTCGCGGTGTTTACGAGTCTTGGGTCGCTCGACAATTTCCTGGACGACTTCCCGGAGCTCCTCTCGCGAGGTGCTGAGGAGCGCGTCTTTATGCTTCCAGAAGAGCTCGGGAGTCAGGCCCTAGCAGGAAGTGAGTGGGTGAACCAGCGGGGCAGCTCTATCACAGAGGACTCACCGTACCCCATAGCTCGTGGTCATCGCCAGACCCCTGCACATACGAGAATCCGTTCAAGCGGCGCTCGATGCCCTCGTGCACTTGTTTGGAGGCAGATACGCAGATGATCGGCAGGTACTCGGCGTTTCCAAGGGCAGGAAGTCGAGGGAAGACCGACGTAGCGGGAGTAATCCACAATGGTCGCAAGGGAAGGGGGATGTCGGGCAAGGCATACGCAGAAGTCTGGCCATTTCGTCTTTATGTAAACGGGACGTGTCCAGGTGAGGAGAACTGGAAACCCACGACAAGTGTCTGAGCCCAGCCATCCAAAAGTGGCACGATCTGAGACCGCTCTTGCTCGCTCACTGCGCCAGGGGGACAGTAGAGCTCGACGTCCCAGTCCTTTGTTTTCGAGTGCGCGATGAGCATCGCGCGGTTGAGCACCGCGCACCAGATCGGGACCGTCTTAGATAGCGCGTCTGGAATACGTTTTCCTGCTCGTGTGGAGTCTACGAGCACTAGCCTTTCTCAGGGGTCAGTCCATATGCTAAGAGGGAGCGGCGGTATGATACACTCACCCATGCTTTGCGATGATGTAGGGAAGGAGGTGGAGGTTCGGCCGTCTCAGGTTAAAGTTCCAATTGCCAAAGTGTCCGTCTGTGGACTTGTAGTACGCTGGTTCCGGTGTGGCCTTGAAACGGGTCAGCGCGAATGTCAACACCCGTTAGATGTGCTCGCTCAAGGTCAAATGCTCACGATTGCTGGATCAACATACCACGCGCCACAACGAAGGTTTGCTGGACGACTCGTGGTCGTATCGCGAAGTAATAAGACGCAATCAAATAGGACATACGTAGGATAGGAAGTTCAGGATACGCGTCATGTACCTGCCCCACGAAACGAACGTCCTCCTGCACGGAATGAAGGCGATTGAAGATGTCCAGGGACTCCTTGCGGACGTACGCAAGAGCTTGCGCGTTCGCCTCCTTGACGTCGAAGCCAGAACCCATCTTCACATTCACATGTAGATGGGATTCATGATGAATTTCAGGTTTCCTGAGTCCGAAGATGTCCAGCGATATCGTGCTGATGGTTGAGCTCAGTGGTATGTTGCAGGAATTAATGTCGTGGATGCGAGTGGACGATGTTCCGGAAAGAGAGACGAAGCGAGGTAAAACAGATGTAGGTCCAATTCAGCACAAGTTGGTAATACAACGCTACAATTAATGCCGACGCTATGCACCGAAATGCCAAACAAATCCTATAAATCCTTTTTTCCACTCAAGCACCCATTTCATGGCGAAATCGATCCTTCAAGGCCCACCGTGTCTTGTTTTGGTTTTGATATGATTGAGGACGAGCTCAATGTGGCCGAACGGGTGGACGGATCCCGCAACTTGAAGCCGAGTGCTCAGACTGCAATCCACGCGTCTGCTTTGGATATTGTCGGAGGTCCCTTCGAATCATTCTGTCTAAAGAGGAGCCTCATCGACGCGATCACCGTTTCTGAACCCATTTCTCGACGAATGACCCCAGCTTCCTCTGATCCCTCGAACTGAGCTCTGTTTCCTACCATACAAAACGTGTCGGTTGACAGACTGACGACAATGGCTTCAACTCACTTTTTGGAGTTTCACCGCGGCCGCGATGAGCTCACTCGCCTTCGCGCAAGTGTCGATTTGCAGAGCAGCCAATGCAGGACCCGGCGCGAACGGCTGCGAGGTGTTGACCGGGGCGTGCGTATACACGGTGGAGAGCAAGGGTCCTGCGCTCAATGATCTGTGCAAATGCGGAAATGAGTGCCTTGGAGCAAGTCCGGCGAACGATCATCGATACGAACAGCTCTTGGATCTGACCGCGTAGCTTGCTCGTCCACTCCTCATATGCCGCCTTCAATGCAGCGTGCCTCGCGGATAACTTAGACACTTCTGCTACCACATCACGACGATCCAGGAGGACCGTGTTGCTGCCAGGAGAATCTCCTATCTGAATGATGAGCACTGAGCCCCTGGCTACCAAGTCTGAACACGTACCGAGCAAATCTTTGAGCAGGTCGACCATCTCCACCTCGAGAATAGCATGGAGATCTTCAACGCTTTCACTAGTGGTGCTCTTCGCCGCTTCCACAGCATCGTTGATATCCTCCAGCTCTTCTATGAGTGCGCTCACAATGGCTTCCGTCTCGACCGCTGCTATGCTCCTTTCGTGGAGGTCGGTGTAGGTGTCCTGCAGCCGTGGTATCAGCTGCTTCTCCATGTGATCGGTAACCTGTAAAACGAGGCGTGGTGAGTGGTGCTCCCAAATGCAATCGTGAGACATGTACGGCATCCAGACCACTCTCTTGTCGCCCCAACAACGCCAGACGGTCCATCCGCACGGCACGTTCCAGCTCGCCCTTCACGTCGACCTTCAGAGTTGACACGGGTACGTCCTCTTCATCTGAGACGGAGCCCGGGTCAGCCGATGAGAGGATATTCACGACCTCATCGGAGCCAACAGCTGCTTCCTCCAACCGTTTCGCCATCTTCTCCAGCTCCTCAGCGTACGCGACTTGCAGGATCTTCTCGAACAGCGTCGTGTCCCTCTCCAACTCGTTGAGCCTCACGTGAATCGTCGAGGCGTCGTCCTGCAATTCTCCCACGGTCGGTAACGAGCCGGATCCGTCGTCGACGGCACGGTAGAGCTGCTTAACTGCGGTGGTCGCTTCTGTGCGCGAGCTACTCAGCAGCGCGATGTCGGCCCTGTACTTGTCGAGGACGTCATGCGGGACCGCCTCATGCATAACGCGCAAGGCCGAATCGACATGTCGGGCGACGTTGTTGTCCATCTGCAAGTTTTTCGTGAGTGTGTATCAGGTCGAGAACCGGACCACTGACCTCCGCCGAGAGATCAGCGAGCCTTTGCTGCTGTCCTTCGATCGTATCGTCGACCATCTGGATCTGCTTTCGGAGGGGGTGGATCGTGTGCTTCGTGTCTTTGCTCGCAGCCCTGTGTCCAACTCGGTTGGATCCGACTGTGTTCTACAAGTGATTGATAAGCATTATTGTACTCACTTGACGGCACTCAACCGATGCTTATACCGTGCTGCCTGTTTGTCCAGCAGGTCCGCCTCCGCCTCCAGGACTGCCGTACGGAATCTAAGTCGACATGAAACCAAGTATTTGGATCGGAGCGGTCGGCTGGGCTTACCTCAACTGAGAGGGCAGTTCGTATGCGGACGGAGTCGAACCGCCACTAATCGTCCGGGGGGAACCGTCCTGCACTTTCAGAGCCGCCAGACTGGATAGCGGTCAGTATCGTTCCTTTCACGTCGCTGTACAAGGCCCTACACATCAAGCTCTTCGCTGTAAAGTGCGATGGGCGCAAGCGACGCTCGTAGAGAAGGATTGCAGCCCGGACCAGTGTGGTTAGACTCCGCCAGCGCCACTTGGTCTGCGAAGCTGGGGTCGGGAAATTGGGCACCGAGCCATTGGAGGAGCTGCTTGCCCGCTGGAATATCTGTGGCCCATGCAATGTCGCCGGAGGAGATGCGGGGTCCGTCTAGATGGGACACGAGTTCCAGTACGTGGGAGATGGAGTCTGGATTTGACATCAGTGCGCTACGGGTACGGTGTATGAATTAGAAAGATACACGTACTTACTCAATGATAGTCTCTTGGGCTGATTGAAGGGTACCGAACTTGGTCGACGTGCTTCCAGAATAGGGGCGTGTGAACTCGGGATCGGCTGGCTTGCGGAGCCGGTGCGCAGCAAATTGCTTTCGTCCGTCAGTCAAAACCACATTGAATCAATGTTTCAAGCCGGACTGGTGCGCATTGACGCACCGATCACGTATACTGAACAGGACTGTGTCTACCATACACATACAGGTTGTACACAGGCTTGCAATGGATTCTCTGATCCTGCACCCACCCGTCGGCTACGGCAGGTTACCCGAGTTTACGCCAGGCCGGGTACACAAGACGTTCGAGTGATATGCCTCAACTTGGAGTGGATATCCTCTCGGATAGAATAGGTTACTTGCCCATAGGGTGACATAACACTGCCGCGCACCTTCCCGGCCATCTCACAACAGTGACAGGGGAGATTTACGAGTCTTTTTTTCGCCAAGTCCGCATCCGCTACTGGATTCCCAAATGAGCTCTCTCCCATGAAGTCGAGTGGCCCTCAGGTATAAAACCCCCAGCGTTTTCGACGAAAATGCCCCACCATCGAACGCAGAAAACATCGCAAGCATACACAACCATCTACATACCCACTCACACCCAAGATGTACAGCAAAGTCTCCTTGATTGCTCTGGCCGTCGTAGTCCCTGCGACTGCAAGTCCTATCGTTGGGGAGCTCGGCACTCGCATCTCCTTCCAAAAGCGCAACGCGCTCTCTAACAGCGATGGCATGTTTGATCATGCCAAGGCCATTCAACAGGTCGTTCGCGATCACAAGTACGCATGCCTCGTGATAGTGCACGCAACATTGACACTGACGTTCGCGGCAGCAAACACCGGGCTAACTTGCGGAACCTCGAGCAGAACGCCGGTCGCGACGCCTTCAACGAGGGCGCCGAGGTCAGGCCGCTCATGGCTTACCCCGCTCACGCTCTCGAACGCCGTCAATCTGAAGCTCTCACCGACGAGGCACATGACGAGTACTGGGCCGGAAACATCACCGTCGGCACCCCAGCCCAAAATTTCTTTGTCGACTTTGACAGTAAGTCCATTTATGTCCGCAGACTGCGAGCCGAGGACCGACGACTCACCTGCTGCGACAGCTGGGTCCTCTGACCTCTGGTTCCCCTCAATAAACTGCACGCAAAGTGCTTGCGCCAATAAGCACAAGTACAACGCCCGTGTGTCCTCCACCTCGAAGCACACCAACAGCAACTTCACCTTGCACTATGGAGACGGCTCGGCTGTCTCCGGCCCCGTCTGGACGGACACTGTCAACATCGCGGGGCTCTCAGTACATGATCAGGCCTTCTCCGCGGTGACGAACCTCTCCGACTCTTTTGGGCCCCAGGCCAACGACGGCATCCTGGGCCTCGCGTACCAGTCGCTCTCAGACATTCGCATGCCGCCGTTCGTTAACACCGCGAAGGCGCAGGGCGCGATCAAACAGGCCGAGTTCGGGTTCAAGATCGCTCAGTCTGGTTCTGAGCTGTATATTGGGGGGACGGACGCATCGCAGTACAGTGGGGACATCGAGTACCACAACGTCGTCGGCAGCACCGGTTACTGGCAAATCGGAAGCGGAAAGCTCACGATCGGGTCTACCGTGAGTGCCCTCGCTATCTGGCCTAGGGGGAATGTTGTACTGATCGTCTTGAACCAGACCATATCGTCCGACATCAAGACCATCATTGACTCTGGGACCACCATCGTCTACGGTCCCCCCGATATGGTCGCTAAGCTGTACCAGAACATCCCTGGCGCGGCAGTATACGACGAGAATAGCGGCTTCTATTCGTTTCCTTGCAACAATGTCCCCTCGAACATCGCGTTTAGCTGGGGCGGCAAGCAGTGGACCATCTCCCCGCAGAAGTGAGTTATCGTCTCTCAGAAAGTATGCTGAGGGGATGGTACTGACTGCTTCTACTAGCTTCAACCGTGGCCGGGTTGACAAGCAGCACTGCATCGGAGCCATCGCCGCACAGAATCTCGGTCTGGGCAACAACGTCTGGTTGGTTGGCGACAGGTGAATGGGGCTCGTTCACTCCTCCTAACGCATCGATGTTGACCTCTTGCGCCCGGATGTAGCTTCATGAAGAACGTCTACTCTGCATTTTCGTTCGAGAAGAACGCCGTCGGGTTCGCCACCCTGAAGTAATAGAGCCCTCGTTGGTAGATGGCTCCTGTCCTTGATGGATCAAGTCGAGCTCCGCATCGTGCTGGCCACCGACTCGAGATATCGTCACGATTGTGTTATGTCTCCAGATCGCTAGTACTCGTAGTAATATAATAATCGTGCTTCAACCACCTTACAGATCATGTCGACTGTGGCCATTATTGAGGCAGCGAGCTTGCGGAGACCCGTTCGTATCCCCTGTCAATAGTGGGTCTGCCGATTGTGTTCCGCATGCGCCGCCCTTGATATAGGTTTGTCCAGCCCTTGTGCTCTCCGCGCTCTTGAGCAGGGCACTGTCAGCGATGTAGCCTCTCCGCCTGCCCGCCGCGGCTTTTGCCCGCAATTCCTCACGTATGCCATGGACATAGAGCGTACAGATAAGAGTAGTCTCGGCCACAACCATCGACGTGTCGGACGGAGTCTCCTGAATACACGATGCACGCTTCTCGTTTTCTCTACCGACTTAGTACGTATCTGCCTGCAAGAGGCCACTCCAGTGCGAATCTAGCCTGTTGAGGTTAAGTATCTCACCATGTCACGTTCGCCAGTACCAGTAGTTAGTTAGCCTGGGGATGAACCCATGTATCGGTAGTGAGTTCACATAGATCCCAGGCTTTTGCCACCAACTATTCATGTAGGCTTATAGTAGTCCAGGCGCTAGTCAAGGGAGTACATCCTGCGCCAAATATACTCTTGTCTGATTGATCGTGATATGACGATAGTTCCGGGAGCTTTGCACACAGTGTCAAGTGTGCGCACACATCCGCACGCCTACCATCTCGTTTAGACTACGTACCCAGAGCATTCAAGCAATTTGCACCGCGCGCGAGGGGATCTGGTGGGGATCAGGCGAGGCAAGTGTTCCGAATCGACACGCGCACCGCAGACGTCTTCTCGTTTCGTCTATTTTCAGCTCCCCAGCGGCATTGATCATAAGTGTCGAGTTCGGCGGCGAGCTGAGGAAAACCATATAGGGCGTTGCCAATCTATGCTAGATGCATGGCGGTACATTTTGCAAGTAGAGGCTTGGTTATGTAGGCCGGTCAAGTCATCGAAGTACCCTTCCATAGTTCCTATACTTACTGAGGCGACGATGACCACAGGTACCGGTAGCGGACGCATGCTTGCGCGCAGTCTGTTGCCACCACGACCAACAACCGTCCCGAATCAGCGGTTACATTGTGTCCGCGCGCTCGCGTATCGCCGCCCTCTTTTCTTGCCGTTGTTCCTGGCTTCGGGCTCGACACTGTCCGCCACGGTTGCCTTCCATCGCCAACGCTTGTTTAGCCGGTCTGGGCCTGGCGTATTGTGCTCGGTTCTTGTCAGCTCCTCACCTCGGCAATAGCGCCAGGCGACGCTCTTCTCTCAAGCACCCCCTCGTCACGTACGCAGCGCAGGTCTCTTGCGTCCACTAACTTCACGCCGCTCCTTGCCTCACTCTCGTCGCTCCTTACAACGCACCCGCGCGATCGCACTTCGCCTCCACCTTTGATACAACCGTCCCGAGTAGTAGAGGCTACGGTCCCCGCTGCTCCGGACGACATCTCGCATAGAATACTGCACCCAAGTTGGCTCTCCGCATCTTATTGACCGCCTTCGCACATGGCGGGTCTCTTCCGCCAAAATACCCTAACATCATACCTCCTGACGCTGCTGTCATGTCTCCTGCTGCTGCTCACTCATGTCAATAATGTCTGTGCTTCCCCCGTCGCGAAGGATCCGCCCCCCGTTAATTATGTGGATCTCGCCGCGCACCATTGGAAACGCGTCACGCCCATCGTCGTCTCGTCCGAGGTCGGCGACAACGTGTCCGTTGTCAACCCAACGACGGACCAAGTCATTCCGCAAGGTCCCGGGACGGATGGCGGGGGAACAGACTTCTCGCTCACGGCGATCATCTGGCTCGCGTTCGTATTCGTCATAGGCATCCCTCTCGCCCTCGCAGGCATTCGTTTATGGCGTTTCACCACGGGGATGGGCGTCGGACTCGCTGTCGCCATCTGTTGTGAGTCCTACTATAATCTTGCGGTTGTGTCGTGTGAGGTACTGACGGGCCCTTTTGTGGACCTTCTGGCAGTGTGGGCGGCGTTCGTAAATACCGTGAGCTCAGACGGCCTATCGGACATCGTGCTGACGGTGATTCCGGTTGGTGGATTCGTTGTTGGGTTCGTATTCGGCATGCTCGACTTTGGACGGTGGGCCGGCATCCTTCTCATCGGTGTGCTTGGTGGGCTCTCGGTTGGCATCCGGGTGGTCCTCCTGCGCCCGGGCTTGCTCATTCACGCTTACCTCGTCAACTGGCTCGTCCTGGCGTTATTCATGATCATGGGGCTGAGCTTGATACTATCCAGACAGCACGTTGGCATCGTGAGTTGTTGACCTTTGCACTAGTTCCCCTCGACTCAATCTTGGTGTACAGTCTGGATGCTGCGCCGCTATCGGAACGTTCCTCATCGGCCTTGGGATCGACCTAATCATCGAGAAGCAGGACGGGATGAGCTTTGCGCTTCGTTTCCTCCTCGATCGCAACAACTCCCACTTCCTCGTACGTCACCTGCGCCTTCATGGTCCTGTCCTGTCATTCGCTCATCATGAACTTCTGTCAACACAGGCGGTTGTGCACAAGGGCTATAACCCTTCTATGATGACCCAGATCATTCTCGGCGTAACATTAGGCGCTACGTCAGTGTTGATTCCCTGTCCTCTGTCCTTGCTCGAGCCCCCAGCTGATCCCGTCCCACCTCTCACTCCCAGTCCTGTCCTAGCATTTGCACAACACAAGATTTTCAAGGGACCTTTCCGACCTGAAAGGTCTCAGACCGACGCAGATATGGCGTCGCTGATGGACACGGAATCCGGCATCGGTGCGCCTGAGAAGCCCGCGCGCGTATCGCGCATGCAGCTCCTCAAGAGCCGCTTCAGCATGGCATGATCTTTTCCCCCTGATACGTGCCTGCGCCCTCGTGCCGCCTCCATGCAAACATTCGAGTCCGTCCTTACCTGCGCTTGCTTGACTTCTTCGTCGCGCGCAGGACCCCACCTACTTCTACGGGTTCGCTGCACCTATTAGCATCTTCGGACACAGCATTGGTATTTGGGACAGGCGTTCACGCAGATGGACTGACGGACGCCGTGGACTGGGACTCTTGTGCGTGTCACCTTCCACCGCACCGCTATCGTAGTAGACGCATCTAGTTAGTTATTGCCCCGTCGTCGCTTTCGTTCGCACATGTATTGATATACCCTGCACCCGTTAGCATCATGCAGCATACCTTTGCTCTTTCGCGCTTCGACTTCTTTTTGAAGCATGCACATGATTGTATCAGTAGTAGAAGATATCGGATCAGGTTGAAGCAATGCGAATGCTTTGTTGAGAGACGTGTACGTGTTGGAGCGCGTGGGACGTGTGGCTAGGCGGGCGGTGATCACGGAGAAGCGTTGCGGCCGACGGCCTTGCGCCTTCGTGCGTTCAGGCCCTCCTTAGGTGACTGACTACGTATGAAGGGTGAACAGGCTGCTTCGCATCGCATTGTTATTCCATCATGTTTGACGGGGCTATTCATCTGCCAACTTGAAGATGGGCGCAGTTAATCCAATCAGGGGTCCGAACGCGTACACTAGTAGCGAGGGTGTCTATCAGCGAACTACACAGTACGATGGAGGGTAACACTGGCACGTGAAGAGATATAAATTCGAGGAGGCGGAAAGCCTGCTGCCCTTCGGCAAGAGCTCGCGAGCAATGGTTTATTCTGTATGCGAGGAAAATGGGGCTGGCCTATCTTCGGAGCGCATTGGAATTACTTCCTAGGTTGTCTGGAAGTAGGAGCACAAGTCTTCGGTCCCGCTTGTCCACAATGCGAACCGGGACGTTCATTGGTGAGGACTCGTCGTATTGACGCTTTTTGTATGCATCAGCGCTGACGTTCGCCTACGTACGGACTCCGAGCTAGTCCGTCCGCCTGCTTCTCTTCTGTGGATTTGTGAGATAAACTTCATATGAGACACCATTGCTACGACCTTCGCAATGGGTATGCTCCTTCTTGTTGTCATGGTTCTTATTCGGGACCCACACTGTTCCCCGCTTCGCTTAGGATATGACGGAGAGTCGGAAGACATGCATGGTTACGTACCAGTCACCAAATTCAACATTTGCAGGGAAGCACAGAATTGTGCTCTGGAAATCCTAGAAGCTATGGACGCCTATCGTCGCGCACACGCCAGGGATCGGTGAGTCACCCGCATAGACTGCAAGGCGGGGGATGATCGATGGGGCTCCACAAGTTGGCCGTGAGCATGGCGCTGCGGGCGGTGTGGCGCCGTGCAGATAGAGAAGATATCTCGGGGATCTGAGAGGCATTATTGTAGTGGGTGACGCCAAATGCTTCCGGTGGCGACACTCGACTCGGGAGTCGGACCACGCTGCCCGACGGACATCGCAGGCAAGAGGTGCGCTGGCAGCATTGGGCTGAACCTTCCCCGTTCCTGTTGAGCAGAAAGTCAAGCTACGCCAGAAGTAACGATGCCTTTCTCAAGATATAGAGATGAATACGTCTTCGGCCGGAGACCCGTGCTTGCACCAGGATGCCAGATGATAGGGAATCGCTACAACGCTAGGGATTGGCAAACCATTCTCAATTTCCGCGTGCATGGCGATGTAACACATACAGCATGTGCAATCCCGAGCGTGCGCTTGTCCAGAGCTCCCAAGAAGGAATAGCCAGAGCTGAACAAAGTGAGAGGATGGGATAACCTCGCACACGTGCTGTACATAGGATCTTCGAGAATCAGAAGACGTGAGGGTTGCATCTTCTCCGTCGTACCGCAGCCCGTACACGGCTTCGCAGAGGGTTTAGGGCGGATGTCAATTTGAGGCGCACAACGGGTGCCCCTGCCAACTGTCCACCCTAGGTGAAAATCGACGGAAGACTGTCCTCTCCCTTACAGACGATGGGAATAGAAGCAGCGTGCATAAGACAATCAATATTGATGAGGGGCAGCTGGCACCTGTCCTTCGAGTCCGGGAGTCGAAATCAAGGCCGGACGCTCGCTTCTATCGTCTTCGAATCTATCATGATGAAGCCCTGGCCCAGCCAATCCGGGGTCAATCGCAGACCCATTCGAGGACGGCGCTATCAAAGTCGCTTTACTATCGATCCCACGAAGCTCATGTCCGTCGATATGAACGGCAGCAGGTTCGAGGTGGGGAGGACACACCTATACGCGTTGACGATCGACCGAAAGCAGCCCTGAAGTGATCCCGCGAGTCTCTTGAAAGCAATGGCCCTAGAAAGGCGATTTGCATACTCCTGAGGAGGATGCTTAAGTGCAGAGGACGAAGAACGGCGCCGAACGAGAGGTAAATAATCGGGCCGAGTTCGATGAGGGGGGTCGTCTCCGGCACGTAAGGTCATATGTAAATCGGTAATTTGACAGCGCTTGTGCAAGGTCTCCGGCGCTGGCGATGAAGGTAATCCACGAGATACCCTGAGCCCAATTTGCTATCCCGATGGACTTTGCGTCGCAAAAGAACAGAGGTTGGGAGGCTGACTATGAAGTTGAATACTAACAAGCAGGATGAGAGACCCATCTAATTTGTCTGATATGTCTGAGATTGGGCTATCTCAAGTAATTGGATAAGCGACAGCATAGATTGAAGATAAGCGAAGTGTTTAGCAAATGTTGGCTTAGAACGGGGCGGGAGGCAGAACGCGTCGACCGCCCTCACATCTTCTCCTCCAACCATGACCTCCTGGACGCCTCAGCAAGCAGGCTTGCAAGAAATCCTGCAGACTATCCATGACTCCACCGACACACGCAACACCGCCGTACAGCGGAACATCACCCACGTACGTCCCCATCGTCCACCATGTTCACCTCCGCCTGCTTCATATGACTCTCATTTCCAGAAATTGAACAACTTCACCCGCGCACCCGACTACATCGCATACCTCGCCTACATTCTCTCGGCGATGCCCCAGGAGGACGACCGGATCCGCACCATTGCGGGCTATCTCCTCAAGAATAATGCTCGCCTCATCTTGCGCGCCGCGCCAGATGTCACCGCGTTCGTCAAGTCTGCAGTTCTCGCCGCCTTCAACGATCCGTCGATCATGATCCGAGGCGCGGCTGCTCAAGACATCGTCGCGTTTCTCGGCATCTTGGAGCCCAAGAACTGGCCGGAGTGTCTGCAGCAGCTGGTACATATGTTGGACGCTCCCAATGCAGATCAGCAAGAGGTACGCGCCACAGTTTTGGTCTCCTTCGTCTTCCGGTCTCCCCCTTTGCGTCTGCGTGGTTGTCATAAGACATTCGTTCATGAACCGACGATGATCCTGCTTTCGAGGTCGTCTCCTTCGTGTTTGGTGCATGGGCAAGGTGGTGTTCATGACGCCACTCCATGCCTTTCCGAAAAGCTCTCATGACCGAGGAGGGAAAGCCAAAAGTAGCATGCGTTCATAGCATTTACGCTCCGTGAGGGCAGGCGAAGTTCCTGAACCTCGGCGCCCGGCTGAAGGCGAGGGCAACTACCCTACGCCCCTCTACCTGTGGGTGATGCTGTAGAGGTCTCTACATAGCATCAGGATGCGATTATCAGGTCCTTGTCTTCGATGTGGGCAGCTCCGGCAGACTATCAGCCGAGAAGGCCTGTTTCTGACGCGCGATCGTCCTCTCGAAACAGGTTTTCTCGGATGCTCACATTGGAAGCAGCGACTTGCTTGAACGTTGCAGAAGCCATGTTCAAGGCGCAGAACCTCTTGGGAGACCAATCGAGGCACGTACGCGCGAGGTATTGTACCACAACGGACGATCAGGACGGTGAACACGGCGTACGCAATGTTCCCGTGTCCTCCTCGACACTTTGCCGGCGACCGCGGCCACGTAGCGGTCGCGGTCGCGGTGTAGGTCATACCGGGCGCAGGCATTTATGCTGGGATGTTTTCTGAGAACGGGAGCATGGCATGAGGTGACTATTGAGCTACGCCTATGGCTTTAAATGTGTACCAAATGTACCCCGGTCTCTGTCATACGGAACAGCGTCGTGCGCGTCGATGGGCGACATAGCACTGCGGATTCTTAATTGTGGCATCCCTCCTGAACCTAGCTTTTTCCAGTGTGGAGCAGCCAATTCCCGTACTGACGCCGAACCACTCAGGCTGCGTTCAACGTTCTCGAGAAGGCTTGCGAGGACTACCCGCGAAAGCTGGACGTGGAGATCAATGGCACAATGCCATTAGACTTCATGATCCCCAAGTTCCTAGTACTTTCGGAGCATCCGTCCTCGAAGATGCGCGCGCACGCGGTCGCCTGCCTCTCGTACTTCGTTCCCATCGGCTGCCAGGCGCTGTTCGCGCACATCGACACATTCATCGCTGCACTCTTCAAGCGCGCTGCGGACGACGACCCGACCGTGCGTAGGCACGTCTGCCAAGCGCTGGTCTTGTTGCTTGCATCTCGTCCAGAGAAACTGATGCCGGAGATGAACAACGTTGCCGAGTACATGCTCTACTCGACTCGAGACCGGAACGAGAACGTCGCGCTCGAGGCGTGCGAGTTCTGGCTCACATTTGCCGAGGACCCCGACCTCGCGCCGTACCTCCACCCGCTGCTTGGCAAGGTGGCGCCGACGCTGCTTGACTGCATGGTGTACAGCGAGGACGACCTGCTGTGGCTCCAGGGCGACGAGGAGGACGCTGCAGTGCCGGACAAGGAGAGCGACATCAAGCCGCGGCATTACGGCGGCAAGACGCACGGGCTCGAGCACGATGCAAATGGCGATGACGCGGGCGCGGCGAAGCGTGTCGGCGCTTATGGCGAGGAACTCGACGAGGGCGACGAAGATGATTATGACGATCTTGACGATGACGAGTTCGCCGAGGAGATGTCGACGGAGTGGAACCTGCGCAAGTGTGCGGCGGCGGCATTGGATGTTCTCGCAGTCCGGTTTGGTCCTGATTTGTTGAACGTGCTCCTGGAGCCTCTGAAGACGAAGCTGTGGAGCGACGATTGGCTGCAGAGAGAGAGCGGCATATTGGCGTTGGGAGCGATGGCGGAAGGTGAGCGGTGGCGTCCTTGCTACACTGGTCTCTTTGCTGATCTGGCGTTGATAGGATGTATCGATGCCATCGAGCCTCATCTGCCCACCCTAGTTCCTTACCTGATCAACACACTCAACGATCCCAAGGTGCGTCCTCTCGTAACTAGATAACCGTGAACGTTGGCTTAGCATTGTCTTATAGCCTTTGGTCCGGTCGATCACCTGCTGGACGCTTGGTCGTTACGCCAGCTGGTGTACGCAGCCGATCTCAGAAGAACACAAGAATACATTCTTTGTGCCGACTCTGGAAGGGGTGAAGAATTCGAATCGTTGCCATGCTAAGATCTGGGATTGACTTCGCTTCACAGCTCCTGCGGATGGTTCTCGACAACAACAAGCGCGTGCAAGAAGCAGGATGCAGTGCCTTCGCCACCCTCGAGGAGGATGCGGGCCCAGAGCTCGCACCTTATCTCGAGCCCGTGCTGCGCAACCTCGTGTTTGCCTTCGACAAGTACCAGCACAAGAATATGCTCATCCTGTACGACGCAGTCGGCACGCTTGCAGATGCCGTCGGCTCAGCATTGCAGAACCCGACATACGTCGAGATCCTCATGCCCCCTCTCCTCAAGCGCTGGTCGAAGCTCAAGGATGACGATGAGGATCTTGTTCCCCTGCTTGAGGTAATCTCCCTTCGAAATCGCAGCAATAAGCTCATACCGATGCCATGACAGTGTTTGGCCTCCGTTACTATTGCGATGGGCCCCGCATTCCTCCCATATGCCGGACCAATATTCGAGCGATGTGCGACGATCGTGCACACATCCTTGCTCCAGTACCAGGCATACCAACAAAATCCAGACATGGACGAGCCCGACCGCTCATTCCTTGTCGTGGCACTCGATCTTCTCTCTGGTCTTACCCAAGGATTAGGCATGGCACTTGAGCCGCACATCTTGCGCGGTCAGCCCAACCTACTCTCCCTACTGACTGTCTGCTTGAAGCACCCACACGCGGCCGTGCGGCAGTCTGGATATGCGCTTGTGGGCGATATGGCGATGAACTGCTTCCCCTTGCTGAGGCCACACATTCCAGCGATCATGCAGGAGCTCATTGTTCAGCTCGATCCCGAGCCCAAGGTTGAGTTTATCAGTGCATGCAATAATGCAGCGTGGGCTGTCGGAGAGATCGGACTTCGCTACGGTCGCGGTATGTCAAAACCTGTCCTGGTGTGCAAATTCTTTCAGCTGATGATGCTCCGCCAGATGACCCCGAATTCCAGCAATGGGTTCACCCGCTCGTCTCACGTCTTATTCCCATACTGCTCCACCCCAAGGCACCGAGGAGCCTCCACGAGAATGCGGCTGTGTCGATCGGCCGTATCGGACTCATGCATCCGTCGCTTGTTGCACCACTCTTGCCGGAGTTCGCGCAGGCATGGTGCCAAGCCCTGTACGAGATCAGGGACAACGAGGAGAAGGACTCCGCTTTCCGCGGTCTTTGTACCCTCGTCCAGACGAATCCCGCGGGTATCACGAAGGTCAGTGGTGATGACCTCTTGACCTCCTGTGAATGTGAGGATGGTGTTGACGAGGTTCTCTTTGTGGACGGCAGAGTCTGTTATGGTTCTGCAACGCCATCGTGCGGTGGAATCAGCCTTCGCCGGAGCTCAATAGCATGTTCCAGCAACTCCTCAACGGCTTCAAGCAGCATGATGCCGTTGGCTGGGCTGCGCAGGTCGCAACGTTCCCCCCCGTCATCCAGGAGCGGTTAGCGACGCGGTACGGCGTGTAATCGAGCCATGTTCGCCCTATTCTAATGGTTTCCTGGCTTTCCCTGCTCCCAACCCTCTTGGTCTCAATTTATCGCCTTACGTGTATCACAAGATTCCCGTCGTCCATCCCATAGTACCACTACTGTTACTCCCACTGTGTCGGTATACGCTTTCTGTGTCGTTATCTCCTGCCACCCTTTCACGTTTACATTTCACCACCACTGTCCTTGCTCGTGACCTCATCGAATCGCTTCTCCCGCACAACTGAAGTACATGCGTACTGTACCTAGTAGTCTTGTCTGCCTCATCTGTCCGCGTGTCCAACTCGCATCCATCCTGGATCATTTTACGTAGTGTAGTATTCACCTTCGCGCGGTTTTCTCTCCTCACGAGAGCCGCTGTCTTTATTGTCATGCTCTTCAAATCTTTGCTCGCTTGATTCTCCTATATTGCGTCGTAGCCGCAATGCCTCTAGCTGTCATAACTATCGCCACCCAAGCCTCTAATTAATGATCATGAACTCTATGAGGAGGTTGAAAAAAAGACAGCCGATTAGAATTAGGAGGCATAATCTTCATGTCGGTTCGCAGAGACGTCACGCTCTACATGATGTTATACCGGGCCCCCAATAGATAACAGCAACGCCGACATCTGTCTGACTAGGGCGAGTGCTTGCTACTGCGCCTACATAAAAAGACAGAAGTGGGGTGGTGATATTGTATCATTAGACTATCCACTAATGGGTGAACTGGCTGAGTCAATAGGGGTGCTCAATTCTTGTCGGTCGCTCGGTTGCTCGCGCGCCTATCGGGCGCCTGCCTCCCTGAATTCAATGTCAGCTCAAGCCTTTGCAGCACAGCGAGCAGAGGTGGGCCGGCAGCGGGTGCAGAGATCTCGACGGGATTGTCCCATGCTATATTTGTTAGGCCCGGGAAACCAGTCCAGCAAGTGAATGGTGACGTCGGGAGAGCTTATAAATTCGTTGACCTGGACTTATTGTACACAATGCGCCCAAATCAGAAACAGATTCAGCACGACATATGTACATACGGTTCAGCTGGGGGTGCCGCTCTGACTCCTCGATGGCAACTGGACTCAATCCTTGTGGGACGACTCCGCATATCGAGTCAAGGAACTCTCTAGCTTCTGAATTGTTAGATTGTCGCGTCGCTCTCTAGTTCCAGCTCGGGGACATCATGTGTTTCAGTCAATGAGGATTGACTGGGGTCTAAGTCGCGTAAGGAGCACGCGCGTCTACAACGTGTTTCTCTTCCCCGTCGCACAAAACCTTTGTCGCGCACAACGCGTTTTGCAGCGCAAAGCTTAGTTCTTTGTTTCTCTCTAGTCTATATGTACAGGTCACTAATGTTCCCCTCTCCTTACCTCCTTCCTCACCGGCGTGCTCGAAAGGTACGACACGCTACTTAGTTTCCCTCACCTCCTTCCTCACCGGCGTGCTCGAAAGTCCCCGACTTCGGGCTTCGTTATTTTCTTACCCACCCATCCGCTGTCCCTATATTCTTTACATACCATACAACACGCTAGTCGCTAGTTAGTTACTGTTCCAGTCAGTGTATTCGCCTCCGCCGGCTTGAGCTCGGCCCCTCCCGGTCGCGCGAGAGAGCGGTGGCGACGCGAGTCGGATGACTCGTCCGGCGTTACGCCTCGACAATGTCATCCTCCTTTCGCCCTGCCCGACGCACGCGTGATTAGACGGTCGTGTTGCACCCGCTGCCTGTCCGTCTCTGCTCGCTGTGCCGCAGGCGCTTGAGCTGACCTTGAATTCAAGTAGGCAGGCGCCCTATAGGCGCGCGAGCAACTGAGCGACCGACAAGAATTGAGCACCCCTAATGGATTGGGGACGACACTTGAAGCGCCAGTCCGCAAGTGGAGGAATGCTCCGTATGGACTTTATCCCAACGTAACTAGCGAACAGATGGTTTACAATGTCCCGAGATATGACTAACAGTATGCCAACAGATCGATGAGTGAAAAATACATAAGAAGGGGATCCGTGTACAGAGCGTGTACAGAGCCTAGCTTCAGATATGTCAGGAGTACGGAGAACTAGCCTAGCCTCTCTAGAATACGTACAGACCCATTTACTCGTACATACGGGCCCACGAACCTACGGGTTAAGAGGCGCGATGCACGGAAACAGAGGGAAATAGTTATCAGAAGTCCTAATATTTGAACGATGCATACAGTAGGCCTTTCGGACGTTCTGACGGAGGCCCGTGCAGGCGCGCACTCCACTTGTCCATCGTCTTCAACATAGCGATACTGTTGGTTAAGCGTTTCACCCAACCCTCCACATCCATCCAGCTATCCGGCGCGTCGTGTTTCGGATCAGGTTTGTCCCTCAGCGCGTACTTCTCGACAATATAGATGTCTCGAGGGTATCTACCAGCGTACCGCGGAGATTCCCTGAAGTGGAATACGACGCGCGCTTGTCCGAGACCACCTTCTTCCTGAATTTTGCGGCATATCTCAACGTCGCGGTCGAGAGCGGCCGACATGGCATCAGTCACGGGCCCTAGCTCCGCGATTGGACAGACTCGGACAGACATGAGTTCGAAGTAGCTTGGTGTCGAGCCCACGAGACGGTCCCCCCAGACGACGTCGACAAGCAGGCAGTGCGTGTGGATCTTGTGAGGAGTCGAGTGCGCCTCGAGGCCTTCGGCTGCTGCCCATTCCCATACACCTTTGTACATCTACGGTACAGCGAGTTGAACAAGAGGTATGCAGTGAGCCTTCCACGGGAGACTTACGCGGCGCCATCCTGCAGCGTCCATGATAGGGGTCTCGAATTTTCCGCAGGTTTGCTTGTGATCCGGCCAGTCCAGCTTTTGACACTCTGCGCTCTGAGAATGTCGCACTCAGGCCTCGCTATTGAGAAGAAGAAGGATTGCAGGTCAACGTACACAATAGCGAGCGTACTTGCACTTTCCGCAAGCCTTATGTTTCCCGTACGCTGCGCACAAAGAATACTGGCATAGTCGTTTGTCAGGGTTGAGATCCGTGAGAACAATCCCATGATCACTATCTATAAGCGGCATCGCGTCTTGAGGTTCAAGCAGGGGGTAAGTTGGAGGGAGTAAACGGGATAGAGGGTTGCTGCGGTGGGATGGTAGTGGTGGTGGTGAGGAATGGTAAGTCAGCATGGTGCGGTACTAGACAGCGGAGTTCGGAGCTTAAATGAACCAGGATTATCGACGATGGAAGAGAACAACCAATTCCGAATCCCAGGTCAGGACTGACGGTAGCTTTACGGTCATCCGGCGACGAGGAAGGTGAGAGCTGCCTCATAATCTTCTTGAGCGCCTATGATCTCGGTGCGTGATTCCGGGGTCTCGTGGGAGTTCTTTCACTGCAGGCTGGTGAAAGGCACGATCATGACAACGTCTTGGACCCTCAAGCAGACAGGCAGCTACCTACATACCATTCGATCTGGGGAGACTCCACGAAAGGTCATCAACCCCCTCACAGCTTGAGTAGATTGTGGATGATCTCTTTGTTCATCCTCACTAATAAACCTTTTCCTGTGCTGTTTGTCTCTTGTTGTCATGACTCTTCGCGCTCAAGAACCGCTGCCACACACAAGATTTGTGGAGCCTCTATGACCGTTTGCTCCCAGCAACTTTCATACTCCTTCACAACCTAGCCGAGAAACGGGGATATGGAGCAGTGCGGTCGGTGCGGCGGCGCGCGTGATCGGATGCACGGTGCCACGTCCTCCCGACGTGTCGGTCGTAATTCCGTTAGCGTTCTGAAAGTCAGCGTACGCCGTGCGCCTAAGGGAGCATGTGGCGAGCTACTTATGAAGGCTTTCCGTCGCCTCGAAAATTCTGGACAACCCTTCGGTGGTCGCGGTGTTCGTGACGGCCCGTTCGATGAACTGCAGCTTAAGGAGCTGCCCGCTGAAGGCACTGTTCTTACGCACTGTGATCCTGGGCCGATCCCCACCTAGCTTTAGACGCACCCGCAGATGCTGATCGCTGCTATCCCTGAGAACCACGTCCCATCCTCCGCGATTTTGTGTGCATGTCCTTGCAATGCATCATCGCAAAGCTGCGTGTATGCTGGAGGAGCTGTACTGAACACAGAGTTGGATTCAGCCTTCATGAAGAACAGCCAGACGAACTAATTGAGACTTACAGACAGACCTTACGTCCTGGCTAACAAACCAGATCAGGCTGTCCCGGATGGTGAAACCGGTCATGGTACCCAAACTTATGGGGGAGAGGCTGCGATTATGGTTGCCCCGGAGTCTTCTCCTTCACACGAGACCAACTCACCGCGTCAATGAAGTGAACTCACCGGGTCAGTGTGGGAGCGAGGTGTGATAGGCGACACGTCCGGGTTGGCAGTATTGTAACTGTATGACCCAGCTATTCTAGCGGACGCGCCTCTTTGTGGCGCATACACACATAGGGCAATCGATCAGCCAGGCAACGACCCACACGAAGGGTAGAGTAGCATGTGGATTGGGGGTCATTCTCCGCCTTAATGCCTCAAGGACACGGTTCGACAGGAGTGAGATAAACGGAAGATCCTTTCGGACATGCATGTCTACTCAATGAGGTCACAAGACCGGACAGCGAGAGCTGGTTGGAGACAGTGGTATTGAGCAAAGGAAGGATCCGGAGAGCAAAGTACAAATTACCTTCTGATACAGTACATGGTAACTAGTATACATGAATAAAACTGCTCATAGGGTGTTCAGCACGCAGCACCACTCATTCAGGCTATGAACGACTCACAAAAAGTCCAATAGGCAATCTACGACCGATAATCTGTCGCATCCTGCAGCCTCCATCGCTGTAGCGGGCCCCACCACCACATCGAGGACGGCCGATGACTATCCTCGTCGGGCGTCATCGCCGTCCGCGTGTTCGAGATCGCTGTTCGCGCGACCCACCTCCTCGCGCGGATCTCGCCCTCTCCCTCTCCTCGTGTCATGTCGGACGATGGTGCCGGCGTAGCTTCACTAGGCCACGGTTTTCGCTGATCATCCTCGTCCGACTCGAACTCGTCCATCTCGTATTCCCCCGGGGGATTGGGGCGCTCGTTCTGCCTCCGCTCATGTCTCCGAATCCCGAAGCTCCCGAGCCCCCACCCAAACGCCGCACGACCGCCCTCCTGCGCATCAGGGCCATACGCCTGATTGATCCGCTCTACGCGCTCGAC